GTGTCTCTTCCTTCGTGCGGTGGTGTGGCGTGTTCCGGTGGATTCCACAGCGGCGCGACACGTTATTTAGCAAAAAAACTCGTGGTCAGCACGTGAACCAGCGGCTCCGGTGTCTACTTTGCGATTCCGGTGCGAACAACCCAGTTCTGTGACGTTTTATTCGTTTCGACAAGTTTCAGCGCTTACCCACTCCTATTTGAAGCTTAATTCATGTTACACACCCTCTTTGGCATTGGTTCGGCATTGACCCACCACTAGTCGGACTCAAACCAGCATTACCCATCGTTTTTTGACATCGAAACGGCAAGCCTAAGGACATTCGAACTCAGTTTTGGAAGCCCAAACCTCTTTGGCGTTGACCCACTCATAACTCAAGAGGTTTTGGTGTGAGTTAGTAGGTAACGACTCACCTAAGTTAGTGTTAATGCAAACTAAGTGTTTTTTAGTTAGTTTCTAACTCAAGCTTGGTTGCCTTTTATTTAGGGAATCCTTCGGCGAGCTTAGTAGCGTTAGGGCCATTGTGTAAGTAGACAAGGGGCGTGTGCGTGCGTTAATGTGTGCTAGTTGGTCTCTAATGTGCTGTTTTCTGATGTTTAATATTCATTTTGATACGCTATTGTGCTAGGTAACTCTCGTTCGTGTTAATCTGTATACTTGGTGTAGTGTTGAATATTCGTCGGTGATAATGGTGGAATTTTGCCTTGCTAAACTGCTGAGAATTGTTGTGGGATGATGTATGTTTACAAGCGTTAAATTAGAATTATTGTGATTATATTTTATTATGATGTGGGCGTGCTTGTATAGTTTACATAAGTGTTCATTTATGATGTGAGCGTGCTGGTTGAGCATATATAAACGTTTCTTTATGTTGCGAGCGGGCTGGTCTGAGTCATATTATTTTCTTATGAGATGTGGTGTAATAGAAGCATATTTTCGGACCCTGTTCGCAGGCTAGGGGTTGATGTGGAGTTGGTTATGATAACGAACGTTGGATTCCTGGGGAAAGTGAATGGGTGAGTGTCAGGACCTCGGGTATAAATGGTCGGGGGCTGATACGTCACTAATTGAGTATCGAGGCCTCGGGTAGAAATGGTCGAGGGTCGATGCGAGGAGTCTTTTGGAAGGAAAACTATTGGGGCCTTGGGTAAAAATGGTCAAGGGCCGATAGATGGTGAAGTCATCGGGGCCTTGGGTAAAAATGATCGAGGGCCGATGCAGTAGTGTCGGGGCTCTGGGTAAAAATGGTCAGGGGCCGACTCTACTCGACGGAGTTAACTGTGGAAGGCTAGGATAGATGTGATAAGCGTAGAGGTGCTTGAGATGTTAGGGAGACTCGAGGTTGGTAACTAATTTGTTCATGGTTGTGGTTGTCGCCGAATCTTATAGAGTGTGTCTATGTTTGATTGCATAATGTGATGAAGAGTATGACTATGAATGTTTCATGATTTTGTTGAGCATGATGTTTGTGTGTTGTTGGTGAGGGCTACTTATGGAGTATATTTTATATACTCACCCCCCCTCTACAATTATTGTTTCAGGTGAAGGATTCGTTGGCGACCATGGTGATGAGACGGAGGAGACATGAGGAGCGAGGACCATAGGCTGCATAGTTACTTTTGCTTAGCTTAAGTTTAGATGGTTAAGACCTTATGGTTTGGTCAATAAACTATTTGTTCTTATTTGAATAATTTGGAGGTTCCCACTCGTTGTTTACTTTATTTCGGGATAGGTGTTTATTTTAGTTTTCTTCCATTCATTGAGTTTGCCTAGTTGGAATAATAAAGTTGCCTCATGAGGTTGTCCACGGATGATGTTTGATTGATATTCTATAGAGTTGATTCATTGTTAAATTGATGAGAGGTGAAGCTTTATTTTATATAATTATTTCACAGGGAGTTGTCATCTCGTGTTTGGGGTTAAGTTTAGACAGGTGGGTAGTTAACATGACCTAGAAGTGTGTGGGAAGTTCTGGGGCATTACAGAAAATCCCTCGTGTTTCTGCGCTGCCCAGGAATTTCTGCAGTAAGCGATGCTCCAACATTGACATGCTCTGGCACAACAACGCTCCAACATTTCTCCTCTAATTCTGGCATTATGCTGCTCCTCAACAACTTCTCCAAATTCGGCATAATTAAACCAAAAATAGGAAAAATAAATAGTAACTTGTATAAATTCAGCAACTTGAGGATTTAACATATGATAATTAACTTTTCCGCTCAATTCCTCACTTTAGCATGTTTCTTAGATAAAGATCCTCACATTAAAGCACGAATTACAATTATTTACTAAAATAACTCTCTTTCAGAGAGTTATCAGTTTACCACTATATTTATTTATTTATTTATTTTGCATATTTTAATTGTCCAGTTCCAACAAAGCATACACAAAGGACACGGAGATATTATGATTACGGTCCTTGGGAAAGAGATACAAGAAAGGAACGAGAGATACACCATGCTAGCTAGTTAAAGTTATGAAGAAGTTGTTTGATGAATTAAAGTACAAAAACTGAAAGACAATTTAAAGACCAACATATATAAACATAAAATCCAAAGGTTTTACATAGTCGTATAGTCTTAAGTTTCAGTGGCGTTGTCATCTTGGAAGCTCGTCATCACTTAACCCTAAAGAGTGCAATGAGTAAGTTGTAATTGAATGACTTTCTTCAATAGTGTCTAAACAATTTTGAGACTTCCTCAATCCTTCTAGTTCCAAATATATCTGCTTCATGGTAGGCCGATCTTTCCCTTTTGATCTTAAACATTTAGCAGTAAGATTTGCGACAACGTTAACAACCTCCATCTTTTCTTCCTTGGCAACTACAATATCTAGAATTTCAGCAAGCTCATTAGCCTTTTCCAATGAAATGAAGTAGTCTAATAGATTCTTGTCCTCATTTCTTGCAAATGTGACAGGTAGCTTTCCGGTTAAAAGCTCTACCATTAAGATTCCAAAACTATAAACATCACTCTTTTCAGTGTATTGACAAGATCTGAAGTACTCAGGATCTATATATCCAAAAGTTCCCTGCACTTTTGTTGTCAAATGAGATTGATCACATGACACAAATCTTGATGTTCCAAAATCAGAAACTTTTGCACTGTAGTTATCATCCAAAAGTACGTTTGAAGACTTGATATCTCTGTGAAAAATTGGAGTTGAGGCTGTAGAATGCATGTAAGATATAGCTCCTGCAACTTCCAAAGCGATTATGAGACGAGTTTCCCACGAAAGAGAAGGTGATTCCCCAGGGTCTTTCTTGTGGATGTGGGGGAAAAGGGTTCCATTCGAAACAAATTCATAAACTAGCAAAGGAAACTCAGTTTCCAAACAACAACCCAGAAGCCTGACAATGTTTTTGTGGTTTATTTGAGAAAGGATAATAACTTCATTAATGAATTGATCGATGCAGTTTGCCTCAACTTGCTTCGACCTTTTGATTGCAACAATAGTGTCGTCCTGGAGCATTCCTTTATAAACTGTGCCATACCCTCCTTGACCAAGAAATCTACTTTCGCTGTAGTTATCCGTTGCTTGTTCAAGCTCTTCTTGTGTAAATATTTTTACTCTCTCGCTTTCTTTCAGTACTTTTTGCTGCAATAAGATCCCACCATTTTGCTTGAAAAACTTTTTCTTATGGAGTTCCCGTCTTCGTTTTGTGAGTAGCAGTTGATGTCCTTTGCATCCGCAGAAGAAAGAACTTATTAATATTATTACACCACCTTCCATTAACAAAAAGAATACTAGTTAGCAATATAAAAACAAGAACTAATTTTGATCCATAATCATTATTTAAACTATCAATTAATAATTAATGGAATTCAGATTGAAATTTTTTATGGAAGACAAAGACAAGCAAAACAACACAATAATTAATAATAATTCCTTGTAAAAAACCAAAAAGTAAAAGATCAAAGCACAATATAATAAGAATTCAGACACATGCAAAGAGAAAGACAGAGAGAAAAGACCTATGGTAATCAAGATTATAACATATGGGATGAAATTTGGAGCAATGATGTTGTAGCTGTCGGGGTAAGATATTCTACTTATATCATTTTTGCCCAACGGTACCAAAAGAGGCGTGAAGGGATAGATGTGGCTTGAATTCGAAAGCTTGTTTGCTTCGAAGACGCTTTCTTCCTCGACCCGAAAATCCCTCGCAACGGATGCAATTGTTTCATTGGGATGTACCGCATACACAGCCAAGGACTCGACTCCATTAGCCTTCTGAGCTTTGGTAGGACAAGCACATCGCAAAGGAACTTGGACTACTCTCCCTATCGAAGAAGTATTATCGATAACGTAGTTGTCGTTTCGACTTCTCAACGACGAGCAGCTTGTTAGGCCTTGAAAAATATCATTCGCTATTTTTTCATAACTATCACCGCTCTCGATGGTGTAGTTGATGAAGTACTGAGAGAAAGAACCTGAACATTCACAATCAACGTAATTAACAAACAAACTTTTGTTCCCTAATCTAATATTGTAGGCATCATAGAAGAGATAACGAGAGCCACGATAGGGGGTGGACGATCTGAAGATTAAATATGAAGAACATGAGTAAACAGAATCAGTGCAGAGGAACTCTTTTGGCTTTGAAGTATTATTGAGAGAGCAGCTCTCATTTCCCAAATATGTTTGTTGGCAAAGGGATTGGTGGGGAAAGAAGGAAAGGAAGAAGATGACAGAAACAAACCAAACCTTCATTGCTTGCAATTTTTGCTCGGCTTCACTTCTTACGGTTACTTTATAATATATATTTGGTGCCATGTTTGGTTTGGATGTGAAAAATAATGAAAAGAAGAGGAACTAATTAAAAGTTTTTTCTCTGAAGCGAGGAGCGAGCATAAGTTAGTAGTAATTGACATATATCTCAAATCAAGAAGTCGTGAGTTCAATCTCTATCCCATGTTGTTTTAGGAAAAAGAAAAAAGTTTTTGTTCAAAAAATTTACAATTGTGCAGACATTTATGGCATCCATGACTCTGAATTCAGCACTTCTAAAAATTAATTTGAGAACTGCGGATTCGAATTTGGAATCCCACACTTATTTTATTATACTAAAATAAAATCATTAAAAGGTTCTTGTTTGCTTTATTTGACTTAAATATTAAATGCACCCGAATATTCTAGCCAATCTAAACATAGTCCACTAGATAAGATATTTATTACCATCCTAAAAATCGATGATTAAATTTTCCACTCCGGTAATTATTGAATTAAATAAATTTAATATTTTATAATTTTGTACTGAAAAAATTAAATTTATACTTCTAAAAAAAACTATCTCATAAAGAATAGAGCATGTATACCACAAATAAAGAATAATATATTAAAACACATAGAACGAACTATATTTGGTCAAAACTATTTTCACCCATGATCTAAAAGAACATGACGATATCACCATTCAACAAAATTTATTCGAACAATGTTTTCTTATCAAGACTTTTAATGAGTCAGTTCTTAAAATATATGAATAATTTATTATTTTTCCACCACTAGGATAGTTTTTTTTTTTCATCGGAGTCTTTTCCTTGTAAAGTTTTAAGGAGACATATATTATTCTATATACTATGGACACTTAAAAAGAGGAAATTTTATAAATATCATGAATTACGTAGGGCGCCTTCATAACCATTTTAGTTTTTGGTTTTTGGTTTTTATTCTTTTTAGTTTTTGGTTTTTGGTTTTCTGTTTTTAAAAAACAAAAACCAGATATGTTTTTGATAACCATTTTTTGTTTTTTGTTTTTAAAAAGTTAGAAAATTGAAAATACATATTAGAGAGAATGTAGAGTAGAGATGACAATGGAGTGGGTGCGAGTGAGGATGCTCTACCCCATTCTTGTGGTCCTGAAAATTTTCAGTCTCCGTCATCACCTCGTTCTTGGGTCTGAGAGATGTTGTCAAGAAAAATTATTGGTTTTATTATTGTTTTTAATTATTTTTAGAATTTAAGTATAAAAAAATGTAATAAATATATATTAATTATTTAAAAAATAGAATCGGGGACGGGGTCGGGATATGCATTTCCTATTTTTTGGGACCCGACTCTGGGGAAATTTTTGTCACCCCCTAATGTAGAGACATGAAAATACAAGGTTTAGATAAATGTAAATAAACTTTTGGAAGATAAATTTTAGAGATAAATAAAAAGATTTAGAAAAAAATAGTTAAAGAAAAGTTAAAGACAAAAAGAGAAAAATTTTAGAGAAAAAAAGTAAAGTCGGGAGGAATAGATATGTTAAAGAAAAAAAAAAGAAATTATAAAGAAAGAGAAAAATTATAGTGGAAACAAATTTAGAGGTAAAAATAAGATTCAAAATATAATTTTTAGAGAAAATAAATAAATACAAAGATAAATAAAAGTTACAGTGAAAGAAAATTGAAGGAGAAAATAAAATATAATTTTTAGAAGAAAAAATCGATTACGAACAAAAAGAAATGTTATAAAAGATGAAATTTTAGAGCGAAAAAAGTTACGAAAAATATTAAATTTTTAGAGAGAGAAATGAAACTGGTCTGCTAGAAAGAAAAACAAAAATACAGAAAAATTTGGAGAGAGAAAAATAATAATAAATATTCAAAATATGAAAATTTGAAGAGAGAAAAATAAAGTTTGTAGAGAGAAATTTATAAAAAAAAAAAATTTAGAGTGAGAAATATTTTTGAGAGATAAATATGAGAAAGAAAAAAAAAAGAGTATTAGAAGAAGAAATCAGATTTTGAAAAACAAAAAACTTGTTTTTGAAAACTACTTTTTTTTTTTGTTTTTGAAATTTAGATAGAATTTCAAAATGATTTTTGAAAAAGAAAAAAAAAATTGAATTGGTTATCAAAGAACTGTTTTTAAAAAACTAAAAACCAAAAAACAAAAAAACGAAATGGTTATCAAACGGGCCCGTAGATGTCCAAACTCCCATAAATTACACATCCCTCATTAACCCGTATCATTAACTCCATTACTCTATCAACTCCAACTTAGCTCAATTACTTATGGTATTTATCTCCGACCAAAAGATAGTGAGTTTGAATCTTGATTCCCACATGTTGTTGTACTAAAAAATACTCTCATGAGTTAAAATCTCATTTACATAAGACCTCGTACTCATATCTTGACAATCTTATGAATTAAGGTCGGGGAGAATATTTGTAAACACATCAAACACAAGCTTAATGAGAAAAAAAGGTTTTTTCTCTTTTTAAGTGTTCTTCATCTTTTGGTTTTGTTTCAAAGACACGTGCGGTGAAAATTTGAATGTACAATTTTTTGGTGATAAATATATACTTATTTATATGTATATTTTTATAGGTTGCATCTCAAAACCAATTGGTCGGAGTAATCCATGTCTATTATAAATCATTGTTAGTTCTCTTATTTTTCCAGTGGGATGTTTTTTTTGGTTGTTTCCTTCTTTTCATTTTATAGTAATATTTAATTACTTTCTCTAACTAATTTTAGTTTTGCTTCAGGGTGTCTCTATCACGTATAAAGAAATATTATTTATTTCTCTTCGTATAAAATTAATATCGACCAAAAACTTAAGTAGAAAAGTCAACAATTATCAAACTTTATAATTAAAGATAATGGACCCATATCTAACAAAAACAAGAACATGAATTCATGACTCATGTCCTTATTTTTTATATAATAAAATTCTCTAAAAAAAAAAGAAAGAAAGAGAAAAATAAAAGGGATAACTTTAAAGTTTAAACTCTATCATCCAATATTAACAAATTGTCTCTTAAATAATTTTAATCATTGTTTCAATTTAATTTTGATCAGTTATTATTTTTTAGAAAAAATTTCAAATGCGACTCAAACTATGCCTACGATTGGTTAGAATGTTTTGGAAATTGATGGCCAATTTTGATATATAGAAGAAGAAAAAAAGTAAGATGAGATAAACTATAATTATAAAGATTTTCAAAATATTTTAACTTACAAAAAAAATCAAGTTTGATGAAAGTACAAGAGTGAACTTTATCATTATTTTAAAAATTAATTAACTATAAAAATGATACAAGACTAGCCAGTGGTCAAGTCAATTGCTTGCATAAACTAAATTATTTTTTTTAAACGAATTAAATTATTATTATTAAAGTCAGTATCATATGTCTACGAATCTTCTCCACTCACTTTGAAAATCTTGTTTAAAGAAAAGTAGCCAAGTCATTAGCTTATACTTCAACGTTCTCAAGGATTTATGAGCAATTATCTATTTCATCTGTTTATGCAAAGGATTGCACAACACTGTTCTATGAACTAAGTTCGAACCCGATCCTTGGCTCGACCTGAACTCAAGAGTGAACCTGCACAAGAGGGTAAACTCTCCGACGCTCAAGTCAGTATAGAACGAACTCAATATTTTGTTCGAGGTGAGATTCGATACCTGAGCGTGAAATGAGGCCCTTTATTTATAGGTGGGGGATCCGACAGTACTCACGACTGGCGGTTACATGTTTTTTCTCATGTCAGACCTGTCGGGTTCCGAGTAGATCGAACCCCAATCAGATCGGACTTCGGCATGTATACTTAGCCTTTTCCCAATGGGCGAACCCGTCCTCTTCGGCAGGTTCAAGGTGGAGCTGGGATATTTTAATTCTTGAACACCAATAAGCGTCCTCCACGTGTCCAAGGTATTT